TCACAGACATTACACGATGCCAACAGTAAGTAAAAACTGAACCAAGGCCTAGAATTGTGCAGTGACATTTTAAACCTAGAAAATTCATACACCCAGACACTCAAGCATCCTGAGAAATATTAAGGCTTCATTGCCCAAGACCAGTGTTTAGTTCTCAGGCCTCTGTCCCAATCTTCTTATTCACTACTCTGATCACGTCAGACCATCTTCAAATCCCTCTACTAGCCTCCCATTCCAAGCCCTATCTTTTTATCCTCACCTACAAGGCCCTGTACAATGCCATTTCTGCCTGTACACCTTCTTCCTCAACACCCCATCTCATCTGAGACCTTTGCCTCTTCTTGCCTTCAGGTCTTTCTCCATCCCACACCTTCTACTTGGAACTCTCTCCCATTCTGAGTGCCAAAGGGCATCCTTCTCTATTAAAATACCCCTTTACAAGCAACTGCTTCTGGGAGGTATTTCAGCAATAAGCCATTGTGTACTGTAGAGAAACTGTAGTAACTCACAATTGAGATCTGAATTGTTCCATTATAAGGCTGATTTTTACACATCCAATTGCTCAACTTTACCAGAATTAACAAATCCATCTGAAAATTGCCCTGCAAGATCCAATGGAAGGGTAGAAGTTTCCTGGGAAGCTTGAGGAGGACTGACTCAGGTATTCACAAGATAACGGAGATCCAAAAATGAGGTGGGCCAACTTTCTGAAATATTTCCTAATACTGTTTTGCCCCTTCACAGCTCAAAACCAGCTTGAGCTAGAAGTGCCAAATTTGATTTGTTGAGCTGGTCTCTTTGAGAAGGACAGAAGGTTTCTTCATTATTAAAGGGGAGGACCTGCTTAGTCCCAATGCCCACACAATACAAAGGCTTGGGCTCCAGAGTTTTCAAACTCTGAACCAGCCAGAATGGCAGCCTCTGAAACTGTCACATGTAGTTCCAAACACCCTAAGGTTCATGTTAGAACTGCCACATCATGTGCATCTTAGGATGTCCTTAGCCCAGGCTGCAAGCAAATTTCACATATTTTCCCATGTTAAGCCATAATGGGCTTAAATTGCCAAAGGGCGGTTTAGGTTGGACATTAGGAACAACTTTCTATCAGGGTGATTAAGCACTGGAATAAATTGCCCAGGGAGGTTGTGGAATCTCCATCACTGGAGATTTTTAAGAGCAGGTTAGACAAACACCTGTCAGAGATGGTATAGATAATACTTAGTCCTGCCATGAGTGCCAGGGGCTGGACTAGATGACCTCTCAAGGTCCCTTCCAGTCCTATGATTCTATCATAATTCTGCTGTGCTTTGCTTCATTCATTCATTGAAAACTACCACATTAGTAGTTCACAGATGTCCAGAATAATCCACATACCCTTTAGAAATCTGTAATGGGTGTCAAAGCATCTCATGGTTACATGCAGTGTTGTAGCCTTGTTGGTCCCAGTATACGAGACACAAGGTGTAGTAAGAGGAGGCCCTGAGATATAAACCTTGGTATCAGAAGCCCGGTATGAGGCTTAAGGCCTGAACTAAAGTAATGGTCAAGACTTTGCTAACGTAAAGCAAAGTTAAGCTGTGAGCCAGAGGCAGGCCCTGCCCACAGAAGCTGGCAAGGAAATGGCTGATGCTGCAAAAAGAGACATACCTAAAAGGTACTGGAAACCAGATATCAGAACATTCGCATACATTCCACACACAACAAGGAACAGGCTGACCCATCCCAATGACAGGGCCAAAAGGGGAATATGATGGATAGGGTTGTTTTGTTCGAACCAACATGTACAAGGTGAGAGGTGGCACCTTACTACATAGAGGGGTTGTACCTTGCTGCGTAGAGGGGTTGCACCTCAATACGTCAGGAGTGATGTGTAACTTGTTTGTATCTGTGTATAAGAATGCATCCCTGAGTGGATATCTTTGTCCGGCCGAGGGGGGAATGGAAAGTCCCGCCACTAACTGAGCCGGGTCCATTGCCAAGAGGCACCTATTAGTAGTATGCCCGGTAGCCTAAGTAATCTACGGGGAACTGCAATTGTGTCCAAGGTCGCAATAAACCTAGTCGACGTGATTTTGCATCTTACTAGACCTGTGGTTATTGGGGGTTCTCGTCGTGTTTGCTGTGTCAGCTATCTGCGCAGAGCTGGGACAGCACACAGAGGGAACACACGCACGCAGCCGAGTGATATCAGCATTGGAGAAAGCAGAGCACCCTACCAGTAGCATCTGACAACACCGGACTGGAAAAACAAAACACCACTATCCATCATATTCCCCTTTTGGCCCTGTCATTGGGATGGATCAGCCTGTTCCTTGTTGTGTGTGGAATGTACAAGTATGCGAATGTTCTGATATCTGGTGTCCAGTACCTTTTAGGTATGTCTCTTTTTGCAGCATCAGCCCTTTCCTTGCCAGCTTCTGTGAGCAGGGCCTGCCTTTGGCTCACAGCTTAACTTTGCTTTATGTTAGCAAAGTCTTGACCATTACTTTAGTTCAGGCCTTAGGCCTCATACTGGGCCTCTGATACCAAGGTTTATATCTCAGGGCCTCCTCTTACTACACAAGGTGGGTGAGGTAATCTCTCAAGGTGGGTGAGCTCTGACCAACAGAAGTTGGTACAATAAAAGATATTACTTTCCTCACCTTGTCTCTCTATGAAAGCATCTCTGGCATTTTGATACATTTTAAAATTAAGGAAATCATACAGAAAAAAAAAATTGTAACCAGCAGTTAAGGTAGGAAATAGTGATTATGAATTACTTGGGGGGGGAAGGGGCTTAATAGTGTAGTTTTCTCACAATAACACAAGTGGGAGAAAGTCTGGGGAGTCAGAGTTACAGTTACACTTGATCAATCATTAAAATATACAATAGTGCACAAATTAGGTCAACTAAATAACCTTAATACAGCCCACAGTAAAACCAAGAGGCAATCCTCTCCTCCAATAACACAATCTACATTGACTCTAAAAACTGAGAAGTACTAAATTAGCTTATTTGTGTTGACGGGCTAATTGGACTCCAACAATACAGTGGGAGCCAAACATGTGTTGTCATATTATGAGACTTATCACAGACACCTGCCTAACATATCTGGGGCTATGGACCTCAAGGTCTGGAACCAAAGTCAAGTAGCTTACAGGGAAGTAAGAGGACATGGAATCATACATATCTATCTGCCATATATGTACAAATCTGAAGCCATGCACTCCAGTTCCTTGACTCCACAGGCAAATATACATAAAGCATACTTAAGATTTACTAAAGAGCTCATCAAAATGTCTCTCTTACAAGTAACATGTATAGTTATAGTTAGTACTATATATGTATAGTTAGTACTAGGAACACAGGAATTTTTTTTTTTTTTTTTTACAGTGTATTAGTTTTATTCATACATTTCTCTAAAGCTGAATGATCCTTTACCTCCTTACCCTCATCTGTTAATTGAGCACTTAGGCAGTAAACATCTGTAAATATGGTACAGTATTCAGTATTCTTACAGTTACTGGCACATGTACCTTTGAGGAACAGTGTGGGGCAATTTCCCCCAGTTTCAACCATGTCAAATACCAGTTTTAGAATGATACAGTATTTCCTGGATAATTGTATGTGCACTTTTTTGAGCACCAAATGAGGTCTTTTTAGATGTTCTTTGGGCAAAAGATTTTTGTAGGCCCTTAAATGAAGTTTCCTGCTTTCTAATAATTGGATATTTTATTCCTCTTTCAGCGTAAAAATATCCTGGAATCATCAGCCTTTCCTGTACATGTGTTTTCTGAAAAATTAGCAAGACTCTCTTAATTACGGATCATTATTAACAACAATTTCAGCTTAGAGGAATTTTTATATTTGCTTGAGAATCGAATATCTATTTACAGGAAGTACAGTTTTAAGAGTCAGGGCCATCAGTCTGGGCACCATCCATATTTATACCATGCTGTCTGTGATTTAGGGCCAAACCATGCTCCCCTTTAAGTCAATGGGTCTGCCCAGGAGAGTGAGGCAAGTGGGATTGGTCCATATACCATAAGGTTATAAGAACGGCCAGACTGGGTCAGACCAACGATCCATGTAGCCCAGTATCCTGTCTGCTGACAGTGGCCAATGCCAGGTGTCCAAGAGGGAATGAACAGAACAGGGAATCATCAAGTGATCCATCCTGTCGCCCATTCCCAGCTTCTGGCACACAGAGACTAGGGACCCCATCCCTGCCCAGCCTGGCTGGTAGCCATTGATGGACCTATCCTCCATGAATGTATCTGGTTCTCCTGGGGGTGGGGGGGCAGCATCCTCCCCTACGGGCACACAACCGGCTCAGAGAGCCTGGACAGAGCGTCATGGGCCCCGCCACAGAAACCAGAGCAGCCAGAGCAGCGCCTGCACCTTTTCCTTCTCCTGCCAGGAGAGCGCCTTTCCCGCGGGGGGGTCGTCCATGGCGAGCATCTCCGGCCCCTCGCAGGACCCGGCTGCAGGCAAGGGCGGGCCGGGGGGGGGGGGGACGGGACCAAGCGCCCCGGGCCGGGCGCGCTGTTCTGGGCAGGAGCCGGGGCTCGCTACGCTGGCGGGAGCGAAGGGCTCCGAGTAGCAACCGCGGCCAGCGGGCCCCCTCCGCCCGCCCGCTTCCCTGCCCGGGCCCGGCCCCCGCAGAGCCCAGGCACGTCCCGAGGGAGCAAACGGGCCTCAGAGGCCGGACCCGCCCCGGGCCGGGCCTGGCTCCGCTCGCTCCCCGGCCCCGCCACAGCAGCTCCCGGAGCGCCTCAGCCACCCACCCCCGGCCGCGCTACGGCAGGCTGGGGGCGGAGCGCGCGCCAGGGGGGAGTGACGACAGCAGGCGGCTGAGCTCGCGGCGCAGATTCCCAGAGGCGATTGGCCAGTCCGTTGTGGGCGGATGTGACGCCGCGGCAAGCCGGGCGAAGAGTGGCTGTGTTTGTGGGGAGGCCGGAAGCGGCGGGACGGAGGCCGAGCGGGGATTGGCTGGGAGGAGGCGGAAGCGGAAGCGGCGGCGGGGAGGCCGGAAGCGGCGGCGCGATGGAGCTGAGCGAGATGCTGTATAACAAGTCCGAGTACATCGAGACGGTGCGGGGCCTAGCGCCGCCCGGGCGGGGGGAGCCGGGACCCTGCCGGGCCTGGAGCCGGGCGGGGGGCGGTGGGTGAGGAGCTGGCTCGGCCCCTGCGCCCCAGCCGGGGGCGGGTGTCATCGTGCCGCAGCGGCGCGGCCGTGGCAGCAGGTGCTGGGGGCTGCACCGTCTGGTGACAGCGCCCGGGGGGGGTCAGGCCTGTGGTCCCCGTAGCCCGGCTCTGACAGCGGCAGATAATGACCAGGCCAATTATCGAGTGACCCGGCCCTTGTCCTACAGCCCCAGCTTCCGGCAGCCAGAGGTTTGGGGACACCCAGGGCACGGGGTGGCGTCCCTGACCATCTTGGCTAATAGCCACGGATGGACCTATTCTCTGTGAACTTACCTAGTGCCTCTTTTAACCTACTTATACTCTTGGCCTCCACAACATCCCCTGGTAACAAGTCCACAGGCTGACTGTGCCTTGTGTGAAGAAGTTCTTGTATTATGGGAAAGGGTAAATAACACTCGCCAAGTCACTTTCTCAACAGCTCTCGCATATCTTCCCTTAGTTCTCTCTCTTGAAGCTGAACAGTCCTACTCATTTTAATCTCTCCTTGTATGGAACCTGTATCCCCTCGTACTTTCTGTTGTCCTTTTCTGTACCTTTTCCGATTTTTATAGACGCACACTCTTTCTTTCTCTCTCTGAGATGGGGCGACCAGGACTGCATGCAGTACTCAAGGTGTGAGCATACCATGGATTAATATAGGGGCATTATGATATTTTCTGTTTTATTAGTTGTCCCTTTCCTAATGGTTCCTAACATTCTGTTCACTTTTTTGACTGCCGCTGCACGTTGAACGAATGTTTACAGAGAACTATCCATGATGACTCCCAAGATCTCTTTCTTGAGTGGTAACAGCTAATTTAGAACCCATTCTTTTTTCCAATGTGCATTACTTGGCACTTATCAACATGAATTTCATCTGCCATTTGGTTGCCAAGTCACTCTTTTTTTTTTTTTTTTTTTTAAGATTCCTTTGTAACTCTTTGCAGTCAACTTTGGATTTACCTATCTTGAGTAACTTAATATCATTTCCAAATTTTGCCACCTCACTGTTCACCCCCCCTTTCCTCATCACTTATGAATATGTTGACAGCACAGGTCTCAGTATAGTTCCTTGGGGGATCCTGCTATTTGCCTATTTCCATTGTGAAAACTGATCATTTATTCCTACCCCTTTTTCCTATTGTTTAACCAGTTACTGAGCCATGAGAGAACTGTCCCTCGTATTCCATGAATGCGTAGTTTGCTTCATTTCCCACAACTCCCACAGGAGACATGGCCCTGTCTTAAGGAGCATCCAGTCCAAGGGCTGGTCTTGACAGATAGGTAAGGGATGATTGCAGAGCGGACAGGAGGATGTGGGTCCTGGTCTCTGCATCTGAACTAGGTGCACACAGGTTTTGGTGTACAAGGCATCCAGGCAACCCTTGCCTGTGAGAGCTCCCACTCCAGAAGAGCAGGCTGCACTGGGAGGTCCAAAGGAAGGAGTTATCTGAGATTTTAAAAGTCTCTTTTTCGTCTTAGTCGAGTTGTTGTTTTTCCTACTTGCAGGCCTCCAAATCAGGGGGCCTTAGGAGAGAGGAGAATGACGAGGGTGATGGCCTAGCACATCTGTCACTTCTTCCTTGTATTCGTTACATTACAATATTAGTCTTCGAGCAGAGTCCCAGTGGAAGATTTACTGCCAGAAGAGATTCAATGGAGGACAGTGGACTATTCAGCTGATACGACGTTGGATCTTGCCTAAGGACGAACATCCAGGAGTCCTGGAGGCAGCGTTAAAGCATTCTGTTTGCAAACTCTGTGTTATAAAATTCTATAATGAAGGTTCATTATAATAAAGGACCCCACACAATCCACAGATGTAAGAAGACTCTTGTATCACAAGGATGTATTTCTGTCACTGATAGTCTCTCTGTCTCTTGGTTTCCCTCAGGCATCTGGCAACAAAGTCAGCAGACAGTCTGTGCTCTGCGGAAGCCAGAACATAGTTCTGAATGGAAAGGTGGGTAATACCAATTCACGGGTGTACTTCTTGTAAAATTGAGCATTTCTGTGATTTACAGTCAAACTCTCATGTGATAAATTGTATAATCAACTGCTTGACCACACTTCGGTTTGTTATGAAATATACTGAAGGCCAAATACCCAATGTCAGTCGGATTAATATGGTACAGGAATAAGGTTCTATACAATACAGTCTCTGAGAAGCCATGCCATGCAGTGATGTTACACTCATCTTATGCAGGTGGTGTGTTCCCCAAATGATACATTGTAGCTGGTATTATTTATATGATGATTTTACAAGTTGTATATATCTTTACATGTCACTAAAGTCTAACCCATCAGATCCATCTCCTGGTTTTCCATCCCTGCCCATCCTGGATAATAGCTGTTGATGGACCTATACTCCATGAACTTATCTAGTTCTTTTTTGTCCCAGTTCCCTAGTTTGTTGTCCTGTTCCTTCCTTATCTTTGCTTTGGATACTAGCATTCAAGGTACTGGTCCGTGAAGGTACTTCCCTAACTAGTACTAAGACATACAACAAATGTATCTATAGATGTGTGGATAATAGATATTATTAATATGAAATATATTTGTTAGCCAGCATATATTAGTCAGCACATGGCACATGTAGCTTCCTTGCAAATGAGCTTTATATTTCTAACCCTTTGTCTTTCACATTATTTTTCACTCCCAGATTTAGTTCCTAGTACTGTGTTCTTCTAGTGCAGTTCTCCTGATTCATCTCACACACTTATTTTCTTGATCACCATTGTCATCCTCGCTAATATTTTTTCTGTCAGCTGGGAGGAAGTGTTAACTAATGCTTAGAACAGGATTCATAGATTCCAAGACCAGAAGGGACCACTGTGATCATCTAGTCTGACCTCCTGCATGGCACAGGCCAGAGAACTTCCCCAAAATAATCCCTAGAGCAGAGATTTTAGAATAATATTCAATCATGATTTGAAAAATGTGGGTGATGGAGAATCCACCACGACCCTGGGTAAATTGTTCCAATGGTTCTCACCGTTAAAAATTTACACCTTATTTACAGTCTGAATTTATCTAGCTTCAACTTCTAGCTGTTGGATTAATTGCAGTATTGGGATCCAAAATCTCTGCACCTGCTGTGTAGCCTTTGGGCAAGCTGCTTAACCTTTCTGTGCCTCAACCTGACTACTGGTGGAGTGGAGATAAGAACTGACCCCTTTGTATGGTGTCTTGAGGCTTCACTAATTTGGCTTGGGATGCTCTCATGAAAGGGACTTTAGCAGTGAATCTGCATTTTCTGTTCTCATTCATGTGGTTTGCTCTGTAGGGCCACAATTCATATACTAATATGTGCTAGTGACAAAAGTTGGTGATCCTTGGGCCCAACTGAGCCCCGCTGTAAATATAATTTCATTGAAGTTACACTAGTGATCCGTGTGGCCCTACATAGTATAATAAAGCTTACTGAAAACATTGGCAGAACTTGAACTCGTTTGGCTCTCTTTCTCTTGTTACCTAGACGATAGTTATGAATGATTGTATTATTCGTGGTGATTTGGCAAACGTAAGAGTTGGACGCCACTGCGTTGTGAAAAGCCGCAGTGTCATCAGGCCGCCTTTCAAGAAATTCAGCAAGGGGTAGGAGTTTCTATTTCTTCTGTGCTATGCTGTGAGGCTTGTTAAACTGAAAGGTGAACTTAGAAGCTTTGGATTTGCTAAGAGTTGAACTCGGGGGACTGTTTCTGTTGCTACAGTTTTGCATAAATCCTCCTAAATCAGCATTTTCTCCTATTCCCTGCTCTGCTTTGTGGGTCAGTATCCTATCAGATTGCAGCATGGAAGTCACTGGACTGAACTCAGAGACGTAGGTGAAGGAGAGGCTGACCTATTTATTTTAAATGTACATATTTGCAATCTTTAAGTCTAAATATATTTTGCTAGTGGTTAGGATTCTTAAACAATTCTGTTTAAACTCTTCAGTTCACCTTTTAAAAATACTTGCGCAATGGGAAATACTTACTCCTTTTCTAAGTCCTGAATGCAGCCTGGGACTAGCACAGACCCTTCCAATGCACCTCAGCCAGCTCTAACTATATTACTACCATATTTTAATAATGTCTATAAAGGGAGAGTCTTGCATTGTACAATATATCTCTCAGATCTCTGGTACTGGAGATAACTAGGCTGGAATATTATTATTTGTAGGGTCTGTTTATTTGTCCCTTGGTGTCTGTGGTTATTTAACATGCATGGAAAAACATCCCCAAACTAATCCATCAGGCTACTATACTTCCTTCTTTCAAGACCAGCCTCTGCCCTGGATGCAGTCTGTAAGAAATATCTGTAAGATGCCTATAGGAAATCAGCCAGTTAATGATGGCTAGGTTGTAGAGCAGTTGAGGATACCAAGTGGTTGCTTATTTGTAACAGAAGAAGACGTGTATGTTCGTATGTTACTTGTCATGTGTGGCCCAATCCTGCACTGAGAGGTGGACC